TTTTTTTTTTTTTTTTTTTTTTTTTTTTTTGAATTCCCCGGAATTGACAACTTGTGAACGGTCAAACAAGATCAGGCGGACCCAAGGATTGAACTTGGTAAACAAGGATTTTAGCAGAGCCCAGTGAAGTCGTTTTTTTCCCCCCTCCCACAAACTCAGTTGAATCCAGGAGCTTATGAACAGTGCTGAGCAGCGCAAGTAGACGCAGTGAAGGTATACTTCACTACAGCCAGGTGAGGAGCCTCGAGGTTAAGGTATACTTCACTACAGCAGTGCAAGTAGACGCAGTGAAGGTACACTTCACTACAGCCAGGTGAGGAGCCTCGAGGTGAAGGTATACTTCACTACAGCATTGCAAGTAGACGCAACGAAGGTATACTGGCACTGAATTGGTCCCAGAATGAGCCAGTGGCACCTATCACTTCAGAAACTGAATGGGAACCCCTGGGAAGAGAACTAAGAAATTTGCTGGGGATGCACCAGGAGGAGCCCTCAAGGTCCAGAAAATTCAGAGGACAGAAATAATACGAAGAACTGGTAGTCTGGTACACACTGGTAACTGATGGGCCAAGTTGACGAGAGTCTTTTTCAGACCCAAGCATGGGCCATATCAGTTCCAAAAACTTATTCAGTTCCAAAAACTCAAAACCAAACAAACTCTGGGACCAGAAGGGTAACTCAGAAAACAGTCCTGAGGTGCCGACGATTTTCCAGGAAGACCGTTGAAGTTAAAAAAGCACCCAGCGCAAAAGCAATCCCAAGGAGCGGTACACACTGATTAATAAGTTGGCTTGAACCCAAGGCCTTGCTGAGTAAACAATGCCAGAGCCAGAGTCTTCAGAGACTCTTCACGGTCTACCCAGAAGATACCGGGACCAGTTTCTTAGTTATTCAGCTAAGAATATAACAAATAATAAGTTAATAACCCATCCCGGGTCACACTGTTTTCCTGGGTGGCCCGGCCGTGCAAGAACCAGGGAAGGTCCCAGCAAAAAAACTTTAAAAAATTAAAAAAAAAACAAAATCCAAAAAATTCGAAAACAGACTATGTTATGCAGAAAAATAAACTGAACAACGTTTGCTTCAGGGTCACATCGAAATTCGTTACCAAAATAATAAAATAAAAAATATTATTATTTTTGGCCCGGCCGGGCAAGTGGTCCGGGGCCACTCTGGTAGCCTAGATAATAACGATTATTTTCAATATTTTGAATATTTTCACATGCGGCAAATGAACAAAAGAAGAAGACACTTAGAATAATAAAATGCCAAAAGAAGGGCCGTCTTACATTCACCACAAGACCGGGGAGCATTCACACCTCTTTTGTGATTGACAGAATCTCCGCTTCGCGCGATTTCCTCTGCTCTGTTTCAGCCTTGATCTCCATCTGCACCACAGTAGAGCCAGTTTGTACCACATGTTAAAACTTAAAAAACGGGCACTGCAGACAATTGCTAGTGCATAGTGGTGATCACAGCGTTTTTTCCTTTTTCGCCCCTCCCCCCCTCCCTCTTCCCTAGCACCCCTTAATGACTCATTTCTGCCAAGAGTGGTACCCCCTCCCTCCCTTGCACTTCTGCATGGCTCGTTTTTGCATAGAAAGGGTTGGGAGACTGTTAGCCCTGAACCCATCCGGACAGGACAGTAGGGAGGAGCGTTTTGACTGCCATGATATTCATGGTATGGTGAACACTACGTTATAAGGCACTTTGAGCGACGAGCTGCTTCATCCTCCAATATACCTCGTTGCTTCCTCCTCAAATACCTCTTTGTCGTCTTTCGCCATCCCTCTTTTTGTTTCCCTTCAATGCACTGACCATCACTCTGTTTTACAGCATCTTTTCTTTTTATAAAACGGACCCTTGTCCACTGCTGGCTTTTTTACACACTGCGGTAGGGCTGGAGTTGGAGGGCTGGAATGTGCTGTTTTATGGCATCTTAGTTATCCTGCCATCCTACCTCCATCCTCTTTTCAACCGGTCGACCGTACGGTTGTGGTAGCTGATAGATCAAGCGGAAGGACTGCCTGGTCCGAGACAGCAGTAACCTTGGAATCTGTGCCGTGTGTTGCTAGGGTTTTCCCACTCCAAGATGGTGGAAGGAGGACAAGGGGGCGGATACCGTAACTGCTACAACCGCAGGATGTTTGGCCACTTCGCCAGCGGTGTCCATTTCCTCTGCGAAGCGATGGTATACGCTGCTGCTGTGCCTAGAGCCGAAGGATACCCGCTCCCGAGACAAGACGGATCCGAAGGCGGATCGTACAATGATGGATTTGTTTGAGGAAGACCCATCCTCAACGGACCTCCTGTTCCATCAACCCCCTCCACTTCCTCCTCCAGCACCTCTTCATAATCTAGGTTGAACAACCTCCTCCCCTGATGACGGCTGTGACGAGGGCGACACAGCTGAAACATGTAGGGAGATCTTCACCGATTCTGCTTCTCAGTGTGTTTGTTTGTTTAATATTCTAACCATTGTTTGCACCACCTTCTGCGTCTCAGTTTTTTTCCATTCTTCTTCCTGCGCTCTCTCCTCAACTCATGTCTACATTCTTCTCTTGTTCATGTGAGATGACACTGTGTGGCACCAACTAGCCTACGGCGTAATGAGTTACAGTTGAAACACGCTGCATGCCGGCCGTTGCAACTCATCTTCCTACTCTCAGCCTCATTGGCAGGTAACTGCCTCAGGGATTCATAGAGATAGCAGCTATCTATGAAGTCGCTCGAGGGTAAACCCAAGCCGGCGGAAAACCATTAATTCAATTTAATTGCCGTTTCTTTAACTTTTTTTTTTCATTTTGAATTTTTACTTGAAAAAAGACATGGCATTACGGGGTTGGCTCCAATCTATTCTGGAGAGAATTCGTGTGGTTACTTCTCCCCAGGCAAGCTAAAATACAAGAACATGCTCACTCAAACTCTTTCCCCTGTTATCGACAACAAGGAGACCACTTGACACCACCATTGACTGTTCTATTGGCTGACAGCGATGCCCCTTATTTCAATATGAACATCTTTCTCCCGAATGCTCCCTTTCTTTTCTGTTGTGGATTAAGAAATAATTGTTCCATTGCAGGTGGGTATGGGGAAGGAGTCCGAAGGACAGATAACAAATCCAAGAAGTCACTTCAGGGCAACCCAACAGGTCAAATGGAAACGATGAATTGCCCTTTTTCCCTCTAGCATGGAGCAAGAAAGAATATTTGCATCTGTGCTCCTCCTCATCTTCCCTGTATCAATCTTTGTTCTTAAGAATCTTAACCTTGAGTATTGTTCCAGATGGTTATAAAATTGATGACTTGCCGGTGGAAAGGAAACCAAATTGACACTCACCCGGGTAGAACATAGCCAAAAAGAAAGCAAGGAAAAAACTTCAAAAAACTTAAAAAAAGACATAATTATCCCACTGCAGGTGAGGACTTCAAGTTGCTCACCTCCAAAGAACTGATTTCTATGATCAGCCCAGCCAGTTCCTCTTCCATGCTTTGTACTTTTGCTCTCCTCATTTTCAGCTCGGAGTTGCTGATTCCATGCTTCCCTTTGGCACTCTGCCAATTACAGCCTTCCTTCTGACTGACGGTTAGAATTTCCAACTTCCTGACTTCTTGCTCCTTCTGGAATTTCGATTGCAAGGCTCTTGCAGCAGCCAACGATTTCTCAAGCTCGCAAATGGCCTTTACCAGATCGCTCTCCTTCTTTTCCAGTGACCTCAACTTCCTCTCCCTCTCCTTCTCCATCCTTTTCTCGAGCATGCGCTCCTTCTCATTCTGTTTTTCTGCCTCCAGTATCCGTACCTGCATCATCAATGACATTCAGCAGCAGAAAGTTGTTTTAATCATTTGACAGTGCAACAAATCTGCCTGTGAGCACTCCCTTCGTGGTCGACGCTTACTCACTGATCAGCATGCATGAGTGAGTAAACCAAGCGGAGAGCACAATTGAACAGCGCAAAATCACACGGATACAAGAACAAACACAACACTGAAGTCTCTTGATCATGAAAACCCTCTTCTCACCTGTATCCATACTATCCAATCAATACGACAACACAGTTGTAGTTTCGGTCTCAGGTACGACTGCCAACACAACTGCCTTTTCTCTAATGTATGCAACTCATCGCCATGCCATCTGAGCCATCGAGCCCAGTTCCACACCTGAGGTCCACCTGAGAGACTGACCATGCTGGAGCTCTCTCTGCCGACCGCCAGGTAAGTATCCACCAACCTCCTCCCACAGTCTTCCTTACTGTCCCAAAGGCCGCCTCTGTCTGACCGTCACCCCTAATATACAAGCCGCCAACCAGCTTTGGTCCCTATTCTCGTCCCCAGCGCCTACCAGTATGACTCTGGCGATTGCATGGTTGTGTTCGTCCTCTTGCTCGCATACGTTGACTTACCACTGTAGCAGCCTGCTGGTGAACTGCCATCTGAAAGTGTCCCATTGACTTGCCCCGCCTTGACGTACATAGAGTGGCTGGGTCTTCCTTGGATCGGTAGGTACTAGCGTTAGCTTCCGGACTACCTGGTCTCCACCTGGGCCCACCAGGCCTTTTCCATCATGGCCCCGGGGCCTACGGGCCCTCTTGTTATGATTCTGGTTGTCTGTTGTCTGCTCAGAGAAGTAGGAAACGTCTCCTCAGAGAAGTCCGGTCACAAGAAAAAGGGGCCAACCCCGTAATAGTGAGGATTCATAACATAGTGAGGAGAAGTAACCACACGAAGTAACCACATAGTGAGGGTTGGCTCCAACTACGTTATGAGCCTATGGGCCCTCTTCCTGGAGGTATTGGTGCACCATTTCAGTGTAGTCTTCTCCAAGAGAGCCAGAATAGCACTCACCTTCACGTCCTCCTCACATTTGAACCCACTCAGGTAGTTTCGTTGTGCAGTGACCCAATCCGCAACATCCACCTTTGGGTCCTCGCCAGAGAAAATAGGTGGAGGGGTCAACTTGGGCCGGTGAAAATCAAATGGAAATGAGGGTTGTGAAGGTGTCGCTGACTTGGGTGTAGAGGGAGGAGATGTGAGTCTGGATTGTGGGAGTTGTTTAGGGTCTGCTTGGGAGGGCCCAAGAGACGGAGGAACGGTCAGGTTGGTTGGGATCTTCAAATGTGTAAAGATCAGATCCAGTTTGGAAGAGATGTCATCCAGCTTCTTGAAAAAAGTTGAGTGGCTGCTCTCCAGATTGGTGATCCTCTCGTCCCAGTTAGTAAAATAAGAACGGTGAATATCATCCTGTAAAAGGATGAACTCAGCCATGTCCTTATTGTACTGGCTGGAAGTACCACTCATCCTGATCTTCTCAACATCAGTAATCAACAATTTTCTCCCGGCCTCCTTCTGGGCTGCTGCTTCTTTTCTTTTAAGCTCAGCCTTTAGAGCCTCAACTGCCAATGCCTGTTGGCGGAGTTTCTCCTCCTGGGCACGCAGTTCAGCCTCTAAAGGGTCAAGCGGAATTTGAGGCTTCACATCAGAAGCCTCTCCCTTCTCACCATCTGCCATTTCCACAATTCAGAAGGTAATAAAAACCCTAAAACACAAGACAAAACAGGAGGTAATAGGAATCGAGTTTTCTCTTCAGTACTTACTCAATTATCACCTACCTGGAGAGAGAAAGTTGGTCCGTCTGAGCAAGTGAGTGCTCAGTCTCTGCAGACCGCTCGAGGGTCAGGGTCAGTTTAGAATAAGCTCAGCAGAAATCCGTTTCTCGATTTTCCCATCACTGACCTGAACCAACAATGCACACAAAATTTGCAAATCCTGCATCAATAACTTACAGGACGCAGTCTTCGACTGATTAGTGTTGATTAGTAATTAGACAGAGTGACTAATTAGGGATAAACAGGTGTCCGCTGATAACCAAGGTGCAGCGATTTATAGGTAAACCTATTTTTAGACCTACCCTACAGACTTCACCACTGTATGACCCTGTATGCCATACCCTAAGTATGGCGAATTACAGTAAAGACTGTACTTGACTCAAAACATCAAATCTGATGGTGCAATTTCAAACACAGGTTGTACACTGAATTGCGATTTACCAAGGACTGACAAAATTGAATTCTGACGGACAAAATTGAAGTTACGACTGACCCTAGTCTAGTCAAGCTTCATCTATGGCAGCGCAAAATTCAAATTTGCATTATCACTGACAACAGGACCCTGAACTCACCAATTCACTACACAATATGAATTGCAATACTGTGAAGGAGTCATAGGTCAAATTTGAGTCAGAAAGGAGGTTAAACAGGGTTAGTAGAAGTAAAAAACGATAGGTAGGGGAAACTGGCTATGACTGTCCCACAGTCAAAATTTCGATTTTCAACTGTCAACACACCGACTGACCATATTTCGCTAATCTAAAAATAATCCCATAATCGCCACACAGAGTAGAGTAAGGAACACACTTACTTCAGGGTTATCTCTGAAGAAGATGAATGAAACTCTGGCTATGGCTATCTGGTCAACCCCATCTCGCCAGTTTCATACCCTGATCATTCCCAGTGTTCCCACGTACCAAACTTCCTGAAACTTGGCGATCCAACAGATTACCCTAAGGCGCTTCACCCTCAACTGACAGAAACACAAAAATCGGACTCCCAAATGTTGATAACTGAGTAACTAAGTGCAGCGCCACTTCACCCTGTACAGCGCTGCTTGGAGATTAGGGATCCTGACCCAATTCCAAAATCGCAACACCTTGGGACCACTTATTTGCCAATCGTCAGCCTCCAGATGAATCGCCAGGCCAAAAATAGCCTCTCAGAGCCTCATAGGCCTCTGAGAATCAATCATCAACCATTCCTGCACAACCTTACGCAGGAGTGAGTCACCCTCTATCCAATTCTCCTCGCCACACACTCACTACCACCACCCTCACTGTCGCAAACCCTGAAGATCACAAATCGCCATGAAACTCAACTCCAGTGTCTCGTCAGATAGTGATAGTTGCTCCAACTCATCAATCGCTCCAGAGTCTGGATCCAATCGCTCTGATACCAATTGTTATGATTCTGGTTGTCTATTGTCTGAAGACCAACACTTACTCACATAGACTCCCAGGTATACCCATACATACACATAAGGAAGGGGAGAGGATAGGAGTATCACACCGCATAGAGAGAGATAAACACAGCGGAAGACTTGACCATGCGATATGACAGGGTACACTGAAAGTGCAATTCACTACACTCAATCCTCACAACCAGTCATAAAGGAAAGCCGAGTAGATCACATCCAAGAAACAATGAATCGATGATAGTCTAAACCTAGTATCAACATTGTTTATTAAACTCGGAGTCTTGAATTGTCAGAATAACCTCGGAACTATGATGCGCTGCTCAGAAATAGCGAAATTAGCAGCGCTTCACTCCCCAACCCTGATGAACTGCTATTACCACCCCTAAGTCCCTGAAACATCAAGCGCCACCCTTATACAGCCTCCAGAGGGAAGCGCCACCCTGAAACAGGCCTCTAAGGCCAAGTGCCACTCAGAGGATGAAGAAGAAGACCAGTGCCACAATATCTGATGATGACGAAGTGTTGGAAGACTTCCCGGATGGAAGTCTGCAGCAGCGCCGCCACTCCTTACAAGATGACCTCTAAGGAAGAAGCTGCAGCATCACAAACCTGTAACCCTACTCCGGAGGAGGGTCCAGCAGGGTACCAGCTTCTCTCGCCTCCAGCAGACCTCGAATAGCCCAGACCTCTGTACAGCCCCGTGTGCTGAGAGTACAGCGCAGGTCCCAGCTACGGCTGGCGCTCCGAAGGTCTGGCTATGTCCGTCTCCCTCAAGGCTGAGCCGCCACCACTTCCAGTTCATGCGTTGCACCGCAGCGATGTACACGGTACCAACCGCCAAAAGCTCTGAACCGATGTGCCCATCCTATCTATAACCTACACTAGCCTAGACACGACCTAGACCGGTCTGACTGGACCGACCGGTACCGTTTCAGTTTCGACCTCTCAGCCTCTACCTTACCCGGCTATAGGCTATAGGACCGTCTATCAGCATAGGCCTTTAGGGCCTGTCTGTCCTAGGGGTAGCCCAGGCCTGCTATTCGCAGTTAGGGTAGCTGTAGGAAATTCTGGTTAGTACGGGCCTATATTTTCCCCGAATTTGCAGATATATCCCTCATGAATTTCCTCACAGTCAGCTGTCGCGGTTAGCCCTCAGCCAAACAAAATTACGAATCTAACCTAAGACGCGACCCGACCGAGGCAAGCCCCGAGCTTCGCCCTCGGCCCAATGTACAGCCCACTGAGAATCTGCAGGCTTCATTACACTCTACTGCCTGCTGCATGGCCTAGGGGCCTCACATTAGATCCAAGTTGAAAGTTCCTCTTCTCAATAGCCATTGGCTATAGGTCACATCATGGCTTTTTTTTTGTTTTTTCGTTTTTTTTTTGGTTGAAAAAGAACAGTGTCCTTGCTAGGAGAGAGGTCACATCATGGTTAGTTCCACTGATGATGACACCATTTTGGCCTCTCCAAATCTGAATCAGTCATAAATAGTTGGTGATAGATGTCCCCTGCTTCACTGGGCTTCACATTCATATTCCTTCCTCTTTGACAGTGAGAAAGGTCTATGCTCTGATGGCATCCATATCCACTCTCTTTGTTGAGAACACCCTCCATGACTTGGTAATATTTCGGAGCTTATCCATGTGAAAAATGATGTGGCCAACATACAGCCATACAGAGGAAGATAGGCATACACATCACGCAACTGCATGAGTGTTGCCGTCTTCCCCCATACACAATCACCCTCATCATGACTGCATTTGACTGGATACATTCATGATGAGGGTGTTTTGTGTGTTCGGGGGTACATGGTAGTGGAACAAGTAGGATGACACTGGGGGAAGATGAGAGCAGTGGAATCTGACATCTCTTGGTTGGCTTTCACTTGCGACGCTGCACTCACCTTCAATTTAGCACAATCCACTTGCAGGGCTTCCCTTCTCTGAGATAAGCCTTCCTCCTGCTTGCCAAGTCTTTGAATAGCTCCATTCAGCTTATCTTTTGCCGACAGAGCATCCTGAACGGATGCTCGCAAGGCCTGCAATTACCAACAGGTTCTGCAGATTGTCAGAGTTACCAAACTTCTACACAGAGGCCAGGAAAGAATAAGAATGCCTGAAACTTTAAACACACCCAAAAGTGATGGTTCAACACCAAAATGGGAAAGAAGGATAGAAAACAGAATGTAAAAAGTTCTCAAAACACGTAGGAAAAGCAGCAAGGGGCTCGAAACGCCTTGTTGATTTGTGCCCGTGGTGCACAGCCTGCTGCACAGTGAACTAAATGCTGGAGCAGGGAAAAAATGTAAGACAAAAATAAACATAGGTTACATAGCAAAATATTCCTCAAATTTTCGTGAAAGAAAAGCTCGTGATTTTTACGAGTTCACGAGTCAGGACTTGGGGATGTTGTTGCAACCAAACACACAGTCAACGAGGTCCCGAATATTCCGAGTCGGAGCTGAAAATCCTGAAGTGGCGAAAGGAAAGAATTCCATTTCCCCAAATTTCAGGTGGTCGAGATCCATTTCAGCCCTGAAGGTTACCATCTTCAGGATCTTCAAGGGAGGAGGGGCTGAGGATCCTGGAGTGGTGAAAACCCTAACGGGGGGTTGGTGGACAAGGATGATCAACCCCCCCCCACACACATTCCCACTCATTCAGGAACTCAAAGGGCGGCTGAAGAGCCTGAAAGGTCCTCAAGCTGTGAAAATCTTGAAGGGGTCTTCAAGTGGTGAAAATCTTCAAGGGGAATTTGGAGAGGGCGGGGGGGGGAGGAGGAGGGGGATGGGATGGGAGAGGGAAACATATCAGCCCCCTCCTAATCTCTTCCTCTGGCAGTAACGCTCTCATAAGGAAGTAAGTAGCACATGAGCAATAGAGGGAGGACTAGGGGTCTTTCCTCCGGCAGGGAAAAAGGAGGACGAAGGGTCTATGCATCATGGGCCAAGTACTGGAAGAAGGGCGCAAAGAAATGTGGTTAAGTCTCAGGTGTGTCTCAGGAGGTAGAAGTAGGCACCAAGCTCATCTGGCAGTAACATTTTCAGAAGAAACAGCAAAAGTAGGGATGGGCTATGGAGGGAGGGGTATGGGTCCTCCTCTTGCAGGGAACAAGCAGGAAGAAGGGGCTATGCATCATGGGGATTCATGGGGCAATGACAAGGAAACCGATGAAGTCATCTCAGTGGTCTCTCAGGAGGTTCTCACCTTTTCTTCGCATTTGACTGCAGCTAGCTTCTCTGACGTCCCCTCTAGCTTGTGTTTAAGACGTGTAAGCTCCTGACAAAGAGTAGTCTCTTGCTTCCGTAAGAACAGTGCCTGCCACGTTAAGATGAATTGCATGGTCAAAATCAGTGTCAGTTTAGTGACATATATGATATATCAGATAGCACACTAAGTTGAAGTCGTCAGCAAAAGGTATGTATTCCATTCTCTGATTATTTGGTCAAAGAAACAGACTGAAACAGTTTTCACCTTTGGCAGTAGCCGATGCAGATCCCAGGGGTCGATCCCTTGACCTCAGCTTACCTGTGTACAGTATCTGCACAGTTCCCTGGAGTTGAACCCGTGACCTGCACGATAGCCAGTGGTAAGTAGGTCGCCGTAGG